GTGTGCATGACGGTTTCTTCAGGTATAACGCTCACAACCGTCATTGGGATGTCATCCACAGCGTACACGTGGAAGGCCAGGATCAAAGGTGCCAGTGGCGGTTCAGCCGAACCCCTGGTTCGGCCAAACCACGGGCCCCACCTCCTGGCCTCTCCTTTGGCAGGGACACTGACTGGTGGGCCCTGATGGTGCTTATGACAGTTATGACCCATTCCATGCGGTTTCACCTGACTTGTGGGCCCTCCAATCCATGTGCTTGCATCTGATTGGCCGGAGGTGTGTTTCCTTGCATGCCGGGTGTGTTTTCTCCTTAAAAATATCTGCATATACATATTTCACCAACACTAGTAGAATTGGTTAGTAATAACCCCTACCACTAAGTTGGATATCATATTTTATTTCATTATATGCAGGTATTAATGGTCAGATATTATGATTTAAGGACCGTCAACACTCTTCCTGTTCATCATAATCCTTGATCAATTCCAACCATTGTTGGTATTTCTTACGACCACAGACAAATCCGCAAGAGCATGGAATACGTTGTAGCACTTCACCTTCGAGTGACTCCAAAAGGATATCAAACTCAGGGAACGTGTGTAATCTACCTAAGGCTAAGACTATCCAAGGACAACAACCGTTAGTAGGCTAGCAAGGCTAGAGAGGACTTTCTATATATTTTAATTATCTACGCTAAGTTGAAGGTAATTTCCTACCTATTGCTTCGGGCACCGACTCCTGCTAGTCTGCCAGCGTGGTTCCGTCTATGGCTCTATAATGTATCCGAACATGGAGGATCACTAGGACGGGATTCAGGGCTGTCATCACCTGTCGCCTACCTCTGACAAATCCGTGAGATACACAACAAACAAAGGTAATCTCTAACGTAGACACCACACCTAAGTTTTTAATTACTACTCTAATACTAGCGCAGGAACTTCCTTCTTTATCCAAAGTCCTAGTACTAGAGCACCTAGTACGAAAACTAAACAATGAACACGCAAAGATGGAATTCTATCTCACTTAGACTAAGTAATTAAATAACATAAGAAAGGATCACGAATGCTTATTTAATAGAAGAAGTTTCTCCGAAGCTGGAGCAAAGTGTACCGACAACTCCGGTACTCCTCTAGAATTCCTCCTAGAAAGCTACACTCGTCGAGGTAGAAGTCAGAGAAAGTGCCAAACCTCCGGGCACTCCTCCAGAGTTTCCCCTCACCCTCTAAATATTTCTAATGTATAAAAGATACAATAGAGCCTCTTGTAATTTAGCTCAAAGTTGTGTGTTGTGAAGTGTGAAGGAGACCTCCTTTTATAGGCTCCAAATGACGGTTACAAGTATGTGAAATGTCATAAATGTCCTCCAACTGTCATCAGGAAGTAATCAGGAGCGTACACGTGTAAAAATGGTGATCAACTATGCCAGAACGGGATCGGCTGGACTGGTGGTTCGGCCGAACCAAAAAACCCTCCTCCCGGCCCTCCTTTGGTCGGGAGGTTGCTTAATGGGCCCGCAACATCATGTACTATTTTTTGGACCAATTCTAAGTGGCTTTGGTTGATGTATGGGCCCCCTAATCTGTGTAAACACGTCTTGATTGTCCAGAGGTGTATTTTGTTGCATAACGGGTGTGTTTTCTCCTTAAAGTACCTGCATACACATATTTCACCAATACTAGTGGAAATGATTAGTAATAAACCCTAGTACTAAGTTGGATACCATATTTTATTTCATTATAAGCAAGTATTGACAGTCAGATATTATGATTTGAGGACCGTCAGCAACCATCTTCTTTGTCGGAGATTCAGGTCTGGCTGGGTGAAGATGTACTTCAAGCTCTTGTGGTCGGTGTAAACTTCGCACCGGTTCCCGATGAGATAATGCTGCCATATTTTCAGAGCATGCAATATGGCGGCCAATTCGAGGTTGTGGGTGGGGTAGTTGCCATCGTGCAGTCGCAGTTGTCGCGAGGCGTAGGCCACCACATGCCTTTCCTGCATTAGGACGCAACCCAAACCCTGACGGGACGCGTCGCAATAAACCTGAAAGTCTTTGTTAACATCTAGCAGAACGAAGACCGGGGAAGATGCCAGCTTCGTTTTGAGCAATTGAAATGCCTTCTCACATCCCAGTCAAAAAAAATGCCTTCTCACATTGCAGGGTCCACATGAATTTTTCTTCCTTTTTCAACAACTGGGTCATGGGCCAAGCGATCTTTAAGAAATTTTCGATGAACCGGCGGTAAAACCCTGCCAGCCCAAGGATACTATGGATCTGCGTGATGGGCTGCCTCCACTTGGTGACTGCTTCGACCGTGGCGGGGTCCACTGCCACTCCTTGTGGAAAGATAACGTGGTCCAAAAACTTCACTTTTGACAACCAAAACTCACATTTACTGAACTCTGCATACAACTGATGTTCCCTGAGTTTCTCCAGCACAAGTCACAGATGTTGCTCATGTTCCTCCTCTGTTTTGGAATATATCAAGATGTCGTCGATGAAAACTACTACGAACTTATCCAAGTATTCCATGAACATTTTGTTCATCAGGTTCATGAAAAAGGCGGGAGCATTAATTGGTCATCCCAAAGAATATCATTGTGCATTCATACAAACCTTATCGGGTGGTGAAGGCTGTCTTGGGGATATCTTCCTCGCGAATTCGTAGCTGGTGATACCCGGATCGTAGGTCGATCTTGGAGAAACACTGTGGCACCCTTCAATTGATCAAACAGGTCATAGATGCGGGGTAGCGAGTACTTGTTCTTGATGGTGACCTCGTTGAGAGCACGGTAGTCGACACACATGCGCTTGGTCTTGTCCTTCTTCTCGACGAACACATTGTTTAGTAGTTTGGGAAACGTGCGTATGAAAAATATAGATAATAGAACTCAGCCGAGTATAGAACTTAGCACACCTGTAAATGTGGTCAAGCACTATAGTCTAATAAGCACTACATTTTTTTAAAGAAGTTTATATAAAAAAATATATATGAGCTATATATCTTTTCTTTTGGTATCCCTCCGTTTCAAAATGTAGCAACTTAGGATGTTGTTAGACCCATCCTAAATTACTATATGTTGAAATGAAGATCGCAGTTTCTTTCCTAAATTCATATATGTGTTACGTGGTCCTTTTCTTAATAACAGACTTATCCATCTTCGCTTGTAAGAACCTAGCTATAACCAGTTATTATAGAGTTTACAGGTTGAACGACTGTGAATTACAAAATCATAACTTAATTAAAAACAATAAAACTACTTAAATACCAGCCTAAAGACAAAGATAACACCTATTGCTAAATTTCTATATATCTATGGTTGGCAAAAATCTGCACAGTGGCTAGCGAGTTGTGCATAGTAGTCCTTGTATTTCTCAAATCAGCAGCTGATCATTGTGCCGATCAAATTTCGCGTTCGTCACCATTAATGACTAGTGCCGAACTAAAGCGGCAGATAACGTCGGACGGTAACTGAGTTATAAATCAACCGTTCACATAGATCTTGCTAGCACCACGGCCATCGAAGCTGATTCATTGGGGACATCTTGCACCCTGCCGTCGTGGACCGTGGCGAGGTAGCGTCTTACATTTTCAACATATGTCTATCTAATAAGCTATCCTAAGCTTAATTCAAGTTTAATCGTAACAGTGAAAATTGTGATCTTGCACACACTTCAGTATTCCATTTTATTATTTGCATAATTTAGTTTTCCATTGTGCAATTAAAACGAGAGGCGGATCTATCCATTGGGTAGGGTGGGACACCCCCCCCCCCAGCCTCTCTCCTCCTCGTCCTCCTCATAGTAGTGATGGGCCATCAAAATTAGGTATAGCAAGTTGTGAAAATCCAACATATCATCCCGCATCAAGCATCAACGTAGCTAGTGTTGGTCTGCCTCTTCACAACACATGCACGCACGCCACATAGGGGTGGACATTCGGTCTAACCGAAAAATTCGGTTCGGTTTCTCGGTCTTTTTGAAAATTCGGTCTTTGTAATCTCAAGACCGATCGGTCTCCAACAAATCTTAGGACTGAGCAAATCGGTCTTCGGTTAGTTCGGTTCGGTCTCGGTCATAGACCGAACTAACAGCAAAAACAAAGCAAATCAACAAAACTATATGTAAAAACAGCAAAAGCAAAGCAAATCAACAATTAGTGGAGGCGGCGCCCGGCGGTGGAGCCGGCGTAGGGCCGGCTGGGGGTGGCACCAGGCGGTGGAGGCGAAGGAGTGCCGGCTAGAGGCGGCACCCGGCGGTGGAGGTGGCGGTGTGCCGGCTGGAGACGGCGCCCGGCGGTGGAGGCGGCGCACCGACTGGAGGCGGAAGCGGCGCCCGGCGATGGAGCGAAGGAGGACGCGGATGGGATGGAGACGGGAGTCGGGACGGCGCCGCTCCAGGATGGATGGGGATGAAATGATGCGTCGATGCCTGTGACGCACCTGCCCCTAGGGTTTTTATTAGTGGGCTTATTGGGCCAACTAGATCTATTGGGCCTAATTCGGTTATTTCGGTCAAATCGGTTAATTGAGGCCCATGACCGAATAAACCGAACATATTTCGGTCTTTTAGTAGTTGAGACCGAATTACAGACCGAATTTTTCGGTCTCGGTTTTTTCGGTTCGGTCTTATTCTGCCCACCCCTAACGCCAGAAACAATGATCGAGGCAGTGATTATTCTTCGTCTTTGCTTCTTCGCGTCTTTGCCCGATCATGGGATGGCATGAAGTTGATGAACTGGTGCTTTTGTAGGCCACCAATATAATTTCATGTAAGAGCCAAGTTTTGGGTTTGAATTAAAAAGAGAAGAAAATACTGAAAACGAGCTCAACACAACACCATGCCTTGCCCTGTTCTTTCTGTTTTCGGTTAATTTCTTCAGTTTACTGTTTACGTCTGAAAAGAAAAGAGTCAGAACGAGCAAATTCAGAGAGCGTGAGTTCAGAGTTCGAAGTGATTCCTGAAAAAACCGCAGCTAACGAAACAGCACTTATATGTATACACAAGATATTATCACCAATATTTCATATATAAACATAGGAAGGGTATGAAGTATTTTAATTTCACAGGTTGAACCAATACTTAGGTACATCACCTTGATAGTGCCAAGCCTGAATTATGGGATAAAGTTAATTATTCATGCATACAAGAGTTCACACATAAAAGTTCTACTGACACAGTGTAATATCTAACTGATCAGTCTCCTTGAAGAAGGCACATGCATGATTGAGATAGTTGCATGATACGGATCCATATTTATCTTTCATCTGCAAGTGCAAGGAATGTAAACAGTAAAACAAAATTAGTTACGCGTTGCATCTGAACGTACTTGCACAAACTTGTCTCGACCACATTATTTGTCTATAACTTATGCCTCCGAATTCCTTCTATAATTTGATGCAAGGGAAATTTGAGTTATAATTCTTATGGTTGCAAGCAAATCCAAACAATACCTAGAATGTGAGATAAGCCCTACACATTTCTGACCCTGCAATATAATCCTCCCAAGAAAACTCTTCATTATTTTTTATTTTTTTATTTTGAAAAACTTGATGTCTCTAACTACGACTCAGATGCTTACAATGAGAAGGTAATGAACATTCAAATTTCATTTGTTGAACTATGAACTCTGACTATGTTACACTGAGAATATTTTTTACCTGACATAAAGGCCTTTCGGTCCTCCTGTTCAGGATAATACTGAGGCTGATGCATGATGTTGAATTGCAGGAAGTTTCTTGGATCATAATGGATCATATTTTGCACGTACTCGCTCGTAGATGCTGAACCCATCATGTTCACTGTTTGCAGTCCTCTTTCACTCTCAGCAACCTTCACAATAATAATTATAATTAATTAGTATGATGACGTAGAATTTCAGTCAATTAGGTATGATTTGCTATATATGTAGGTTATTTCAGTAACTTCAATTCAGATTTACCATGTAGCTAGGTTAATCTCTTTTTGAAAGCGAATCTCATTCTTTTTTTTTTGCAATGTAGAACAGAATACTTACTTTGCTCTTTAAGTACATGTTGTCATTCTGCAGCTCCGTTTCCTGAAAAGATTATACTCGTGCTGTTATCTTATGATGTCAATTAACTAGACCAAATAATTTTGCAAGAAAGAAAACAGTGGTATTTTGCTGATAGTATTTACCCTTCTCTGCATATACTCAATTTCAGCACACAGCAATTCGTTCTGCAGGATATGGAATGCTTATCAAATTAGATGAATTAATTAACAATATGCCCTTTTCAACTTGGAATTCTATGTAAATGTAGCACACAATTAATATACCTTCCGTGCTCTAATCTTTCCTAGGCCTTTGTCCAGTCTGCCTTCCAGCTGCTTAAGTTCTCTGTGGTTCATGGTGGTGATATTATCACCTACTAGGGTCCTAATTCATTAATTAATGGAGAATTTAGTTATAACCAGATGAACTACTTTGTCAAGTTGAAAAAAATTCTAAGCAGCTGAGTGAAATAATGAACCTGTTGGAGTTCTGCAGGTTGGTGATCTGTTGCTTCAGCTTAGCAGCTTCCTGCTGGTAGTGCTGCAAGTTTGTAATTTGATTTTTTTTTTAGTACTGGTAGTTAAAATCATGACAAGTTGTGTCAGTTTGCTAACTGGAATGTTTGACTCTTCATGTTTATTTTGTTCAAATGTGCATCATCAAATCATACCATATTAAACTGTGTAATCAACCTGCATGCATGCATATGCATGAATGAATGACAAAAGTGCCAAAAACATGCAGTGAGCCATTTCAATTTTCAAGCATGGAATCATGAAGAACTTTGTCCAGTGGACAAACACAGATAGGAGTATGTCTGTTGGTCAAAACTATATACTACTACTATATATATAGCATCACTGGAATTTCCATTGTGTAAAGCACTGTAGCTTCTATTCAGGATGTCCAATCTGAAGATTTTGGTCAGAGAACTCATTTTTTACAGCATAGAAACCATTGGTTAATTACAAGGAATGTTGCATTGTTGCTGAATGATAAAAGCTCCAGAGAAAACTACTGCATGCTGCATTTGTACTGACAGATGATTTTTTTTTGTTTGAGAATTCAGATGATGTTACCTGGGCATTGATCTCTGCAACTGTACTGGCGTTGGAGGTGTCACTGTTGGCTTTCTTGTACCTCTCAATAGTTTCCTTCACGCTGCATTTGTGCATAGTAGCACACATAAATAGTTAGTTTACTTGCACACATACGTCCATGGAAGTAAGAATAACTACGAAGTTTTGGCCACGGTATAGAAGTTTCTTCTAGAATTTTTTTTTTTCACCAATTATACATATGTCTAAGTTCAAATCTTCAAACTAACATGGGGTTTTTCCTGAAGGATATCAACAAAAAAAAAAGGGGAGTTAGTGGCAGTTTGGGCCACCTTTCATTTTCTAAACAATAAAACAACTGTGGCATGATCTTATTTAATGTTTAATCTAAAGCATTGTTTGGTTGTAAAAAAATGTCACTCTGAGGGGCTGTTTGGATGGAGCTAAAAATTTTTAGTCCATATATATCTCATTGGATGTATGGACACTAATTAAAAGTATTAAACGTACGTAGACAAATGACAAAACTCCTTTCATAGCCCTGGACTAATTCACGAGACGAATCTATTGAGCCTAATTAATCCATGATTAGCCTATGTGATAGTACAGTAAATATGTGCTAATTATGGATTAATTAGGCTTAAAAAAATTGTCTCGCGAATTAGCTCTCATTTATATAATTAGTTTCGTAAGTAGTTTATGTTTAATGCTTCAAATTAGTGTCAAATAACCGATGTGATAGGGACTAAAGTTTAGTCCCTGGATCCAAACACCCCCTAACTTTCATATAGTCATTGCTAATAAAATTTGCAAAAAGATCAGGAAGCCAGTAAGATTGAGTGTCATAGTACTGTACAAACACTGTACTGTATATACCATTGTTGTGTTCATCTGTTTGTCTCCAAGAACAATGCCAAATCCACCGGTCCGGGGAGAGGTTGAAAAAGTCTGAACAGGAGTCTAGTACAAATTTTACATCACAAGTCATTCTACCTGCTACAGTTGTTGCGCTTTACCGAGGACATCTTTTCTCAACTCTATAGAGCCATAGAGGCCCAGTAGCCATACATGTATTGCATGCTCAGATGTGATTTATGATTTTTTTCAAATTATATGAGAAATAAATATGTTCTGTTCGGGGGTGTTTAGATTCAGGGGTGTAAAGTTTTGACGTGTCACATCGGATATACGGACACACATTTGAAGTATTAAACGTAGTCTAATAACAAAATAAATTATAGAATCCGCCTATAAACTGCGAGACGAATTTATTAAGCCAAATTAATCCATCATTAGCAAATATTTACTGTAGCACCATATTGTCAAATCATGTAGAAATTAAGCTTAAAAGATTCGTCTCGCAAATTAGTCGTAATCTGTGCAATTAGTTATTTTTTAGCCTATATTTAATACTTCATACAGGTGTTTAAATGTTTGATGTGATAGGGTGAAAAATTTTGGGGTGAGATTTAACCAGCGCCTTAGGATTTCATGTAATCAGAATATTTTTATGGGAATCGATCAACATCATACATGTAAGCATAAGGAATTCTCTGAAAATAGCTGCTTAAATTGTACTCCCTTGGTTCTACAGTTCTTGACATTTTGGACAAGGTTTAACTTTTGTAACTTTGACTATCAATAACTTTAAAAAGTATTTAGTTTAAAACAACAAGAAAAACATATATGAATTTGTCTTTCAAAGTTCTACAATAAAAGTAAAACATACATTTATTTATTGTATATATTATAGTAGAAAAACAATGTCAAAGATATAATTTGAAGTTCGTGCCACTGTCAAAAACGTTAAGAATTATAAAACTGGAGGGAGTAGCTGCATATATAAATAGCTATAACAGGACTTAAAAGTCTGATCTGAAGTCATTGTAATTGGTACTAATAAGTTATTATCAGTATTCTATGGATTTACCAAATAGCTAATGTCTTTGCTATTATGAACACTAGGAAACCATATAACCTAAGAGTTCCACTTTATCTATCTATCTATTATATACTAAAAAGTCCATTAAATTTCCTATAAACGCTCTCAAACCGCCAAGTGACACCCTATAAACACTCTCAAATCGCCAAGTGGCACCATAATAAATAAGAAAAATCTGACCATCTATTTTTACTTATGTTGGTAGACCCATTGTTTTGGATGGTTGGATTTAGTTAGATCTATTTTATTTATAAAGAAAAAAGAAACCAACGTACGTAACGCCGAACGTACGTGCGTATGTACTGTACGTACTTCCCTTTTGTCTTTCCATATTTTCATTCATGTGTTATTTTCTGTTTAATGAGAAAATAAAAACAAAAATACTTTTACAGGTAAAAAAACACAAATAGACCAACTACTAGGACTAGCAGCTCTCCCTATTTCTAAATCGCTACGTGGTACTATTAAATTATTAGAGAAAGTATTAAAAAATCTTAAAAAATACAAAACGATGGACCATCGATTTCTACTTAAATTGATGGATTTAAGTTGTTAGATTTTTTAATTAAAAAATCCCAAACCTCTGTCCCTCCCTCTCCACCCCTGTGCAGTGTTAAAATCTATTAAACATTTTGTAAACACCTCTAAGCTACTATATCACATACTTAAATTAAATAAAATCTTAAATTTCAAAAAAAGACAATTATATAATAAAAGTTCATTAAACATCTTACAAATACTTTTAATTCGTCAAGTGGTACCTTACAAACACTCCTAGGTCGTCAAGTGCACTCTAATCCAATCATCGATTTTTATTTAAATCGGTGATCCATTATTTTTATATTAGAAGGTTAGATTTTTTTAAAAAAAGCACGCATTCCAAACCTCCCGTCACGTACGTACCAACGAGCTATGTTCATGAGAAATCATAATCAAAATTATTTTTACATTAAAAAAATCACAAAGAGACCTCCACCTATTAGGTCTAGCAGCTCTCGCTCTGTAACTCTAAATATTCTACAAATGCCTCTAAACTGCCACGTGGTGCTATTAAATTAAATAAAATACTAGAAAATATTAAAAAAACAACAAAACATTTGGCTATCGATTTGTTAGTTTTTTAATAAGAAAAAACCCAAACCTCTCTTCCTCCCTCCCTCCCCATCCCCGTACGGTGTTAAAATCCATTAAATATATTATTAATGCCTCTAAGCTATTATATGGCATTCTTAAATTAGAGAAAAATCTTAGAAATTTTGGAAAAAAAAAACCCAACCATTAGATATGACATAAATCGATGGACACATTTTTTCAATGGATTAATTGACACATTATATTAGGTCATTAGATCTTTTTTTTTAAAAAAAAAAGAACACCCTAAACCTTCTTCCCTCCCTCCTTTGCGGCATACGGTGTTAAAAGTCGATTACACATCTTATAAATGCTCTTAAGATATTATGTTATTCTCTTAAATCAAATAAAATCCTAATAAAATTCTGACAAGAAAACAAAACATCCGACCATCGGTTTCGACATAAACATCTGACACATTATTTTAGTCTGTTAGATTAATCATTTAGAAAAACATCCCAAACCTCCCTCCCTCCCTCCCTGCCCATGTACAGCGTGCGCCATTCTTTTCTCTCTATTTTTTATCTCCTTGACAATTAAAATTAAAATTATCTATATGGGAAAAAAACACAAATGGACCTCCATTTATTACTTATATCATGTTAGGCATCTAAAGACTTTCTGCCAACTTAATTAATTTCTCTTAACATGCCTATACAAATTGACCTTGATACTTTCAAAATAATGTTTTTAGTACATAGATAAATATTTTTAAGAAAGATGATCATAGCGTCCGAATTACACATATGATCTACGAAGTCACTAATCATAGCAGGTATTCATCTAGCAATATAGACAATAGGGTGAAAATGAAGGTGTGGTTGGTTGAACATCATATCGATAAGCATGTGGGTTGTACCTAAGGATTTTAACCGTGGAACAACCTTGCAGTGGCTTTAGCAATAAATCAAGTCAGTTCCATATAGGAATTAATGACCATGTCCTTTTTTTATTTATTTTTATTAAGCTTGCTACAGTACATTGTAAAGTCTTGACGTAGAACAATCTAGAAACATGTATTTGTTATAAGACAATACACTTTAGTGATGATTCGCTAAATACATTATGACCATTACTTTTATATTTCAGGAGAGAAAATTTAGAACGTATACCTTTACCCCATACTAGGTTATGTGTTCTGATATTTTTGTCCCAAATTGCAAAGATCAAATCATTTCAAGGATGATTCATAGAATAAAACTATCCAAAAGAAAAAAAATAAAAATGGGCATGAAATAAATTGAAAATTGAACAAATTTTGTTGGATTTAAAACCAATACTTGATAGAAAAATTCAAACATTTTACAAGGACGGTTAGAATGAATATATATATATATATATATATATATATATATATTAAAATACAATCAAACAAAAAAAATGATATTATTGAATTTGTTTTGAGGTTGTAAGCTATCCTTTTGGCGATTTAAAATACCCTAAATTTTATCATAGGAACCACCTCCATTGTTTCGACACAATAGTTTCTCATCAATTCAAAACCACATGATCTCAAGTAATTTTATTTTAGAATTTATATGTTGCAAGGGTAATTATAAAAATAGAAAAAGCTTTCAAAGCACACAAAATAAGTTTAATTTTAGTTTAGAATATAATACAAGAAATTTTAATAAAAAGCCACCTGCATATAAATATTCATAATAAAATTTCATTCACATTATACGAGAAGATGCCCGCGCATGTGCGCGGGCTACCTTTCTAGTTGTCTTCATTATTTTAGCCAAAAAAAATTTTGCAAAATTACTTAGCCATTTTTTTCTACTAACAACATAAAAACTATGCATATATGCCTTGATCATAGATCTTGTACACGTTTCAAGAAAGGACTCAGAGTAACGTCCTTTCCTCTCTTGATACAAGAAAAACTACTACTATACGCAAAGTATATATACGTTCATCATCTAATTGAAATAGTACAAAATATGTGTAACTAATTTTCCTTTGATATTGTCCTAGATTAAGGGTGTACTTAGTGGCTAACCACAAACCTACTTATAAGTCAATAAAATAAACAGCTTATTTTGACATATAAGTAACTTATTTTATATATTTACTTATGAGTGAGGTCACGGGTTAATCATTTACACCCCTATCTGATCGAGACTACTACAGAGTACAAACCAAAGAGGATATCACAAAGTTCCTATAGAAAGACGTACTCCTGCTGAAAATTGACAGACAAGATCATTTGGCCACATTTCGTACTCCAACACTTTGTCACTTTGTCAATCTCAGGCATGCCCATAAGCAATAAAGTGCCATACAAAAATCTAACCAAGAAAACTATCATATCATTTCCCTTTCCTCGTCAAGACCAAACATGAATTCTCAAAGGCAAGATCAGAGCAAATGTCACGTCACATACGTATAATAGTGCCAAGTAACTATTCCCAAGAGCCAATATAAAAGCAATGCAAGTCAGCTTCTGTCTATCTCTCACACACATAGGAACGGTATTATTGGATACATTTTTAAACAAGAAAAAACATGTGAAGAAATCATGGTCCAAGCAAATTTGACCAACAATGATTTTCTTAACAATTTATTTTTTAAAGAAAAATACAAAGATGCAAGCTCATTGGAACAAATTAACATGGAGCATGTGTGAACAAGTAGCAACACTTCTCTAAAATTCTTCCTAAATGAATATTTTATTAGCATTGTCTTGTAGTAATGTTTACCAACGAATTACAAAACCTTAATATCTTCGAGCATCCTATTGACAACAGCGGCTGTGTTTAGTTCCTTCCAAAGTTGAAAGTTTGGATTAAAATTGGTACGATGTGACTGAAAAGTTATGTGTGTATGACAGGTCGATATGATGGAAAAAGTTAGAAATTTAAATCTAAAGTTTGGATCTAAACATAGCCAGCATGATCATGATTGGCTGGCTGCAAACAGTGAATCATATGAGTACCCAAGTGACCAATGGCTTATAGAGAGAGAAAGAGAGAGCCAATGCAAGAGAGAGAAGCAGCTACGGTCCAACCTAGCCAGCCAGCCAGGCAGACAGGGACCTTAACCATTCTGACCGGGTAAACCAGCCTTTTTCTCTTTGTAGTCTCCCGATGCAAACGCTGCCATTTGTACGTATTCTACTGACCGTGCCATTGGTTAATTTTTGCTTCTGCACAGTACAGTGTACAGTTTTACACTTGCAGCCTCACGCACACGTACTGAGAGAGTGTGTTTGTCTGCTGCTGCTGTGCAAAGAATTTGCTTCTTGTCCAAACAAGTCGTCAATTGTTAAACCAATTTTTTTATTACTCAATAGATCAAAACAAGGAAAATTCACTGTTAAATTAATGGGAGTCCTATAAATCACTTTTAAGAAATGCACAAAAAATATCTCTATCGTACGTATTGACCAGTCCGTCGTAATCCAACAAGATAATACAGGAGTATATATATAACAAATTTACTATATATATATATATATATATATATATATATATATATATATGATACTAGAGTCTAAGCTAGATAGTGTTGTGCAGGGTATTAACATTTGGAGTATGAAGTTTAATTGTTTAAGTAAAGATATTTTTTCTTAACCAAGACGGGTTATTAAAACGTAATTTTAAAAATGAAGGACAAATCATACATGATCTAGTTTAGAGTTTTTTTCTAGATCTTTTTGCTACTAGTACTAGTTACTCATCTCTACTACTAGTAGTTCATTCATGTGTAGTCACAGACTCACAGGGGATCACACATTTCATAATTTTTTTTCACATGGGATTAGGATTTAGAACATAAGGGTATTATCATGGCATACATCCTGATTATATAGTATAAATTACTCTTTATCCTTTCTTGGCTGAACAACTATAGGCATAACTAAGCACACACTTGTGTGAGTGTGGTCTGCGTGTGTGGTGTCATGTGTGCGTGTATTTCTTCTGTAATCGCACAAGGAAAAAGAAGCACAACAAATCCTTAAGATTCTCTACTAAAAATATTGCACAAATTACTAATCTGTAAACCTTAGGTAGTAACAAAAATACATATGAAAGTCCAAACCTTATAGATGGAGAAAAAAAAGGGTAATTCATGCACTGTTTTTCCTATTTACTGCTGACTTCACTGTGTTCGGTACCTCATGAGAAGTACAGTGCCGGTGTCAGAGAGGATAGGTAGCTAGGGGCCCAGAGCACTCGTGATGGGGCATCCTGTTAATACAGGAAACCACACATGGCTGTAAATGAACAGAGAAATGACTAGTGAAAACAGTAACATCTACAGCACTCTGCAGAGAGAGAGAGAGAGAGATGGAGGATGTGATGAAACCCTAACCCTAACTAACCTCCAATTGAAGAAGATGATGCAAAAGAATCATGAATGATCAATGTGTGCATCACTCGTGTACACCACTTTTTACCTCTGAAAAAAAAAACATCAAACCTCACATGCCCACAATCTTGCATACTAGTTACTAGTAGTTACAAGTTACTGCACACATGCATAGCCAATAGAGAAAATATAATATATGATCGCTATATGCAGTGAGGTATTAAGGATCTAAGCAAGCCTCATCACACAGACAGAGGTAGAGAAAGGAAAGAACATAAATGGAGCAATAAAAGAACAGGACCACCAAGCCAAAGCAACACACACAGACACACAGTCACAGACACCCATCACACACAAGAAAAGCTCACAAGAATGCATGTACATGCTCATGCTTGCTTCACAAAGTATGCATTGTGCTGAATCTATCTACACATCTAGCTCACCTCACAGGAAACACAAAAGAAACCAGAAATGTGCACACCACATCAGCAAGCACACAGATCATCACACACACACAAAGAAACTCCTGCAATTTCTTTCTCACTTGCTAGTTGCTACTACCCCCAAGAAAGCACAGAAGTAACAACAAGACAGTTAATTAACTGAAGCACATATATGTAGTAACAGAAAAGAAGGTGAGATGGACGCACATCACCATATATATGCCTCCTCCTTGTCACAAGAAAAGGTAGCAACTAACTTGCTCCAATTAGGACAAGATAACATATATCACATGGATTAATTTAGGTTTCTAGAGCTGAAGAGAGGAAGAGGAATGCAGTACCTGTTGTTGGAGTACTCGTAGAGGCGGCCACGGCTGGAGAAGACGACGAGGGCGACCTCGGCATCGCAGAGCACGGAGAGCTCATACGCCTTCTTGAGTAGCCCGCTGCGGCGCTTGCAGAAGGTCACTTGACGGTTCGTCGTGTTCTCGATGCGCTTGATCTCAATCTTTCCCCTGCTCCCAATCTTCTCAGCTCCCACCGAGCCTGAGCCACCTGAGCCACCGGAGCCGGGGGAAGCAACAGGTGCTGGCTCTGGCATCTAAATTTGAGTCACAAAATAATTCCAGAGATATGACTCAGTCCTCTATGTAAGAACTTAGCAGCACAGCATGAGCCAACATAATCAAGAAATTGCAAGACCGGAAGATGGATCTTTGGCAAGAAAATCAAGAAGTGCTGGAGACATCATGGCCATCATCTCTCTTAAAAATCAATATATGTAACTACAGCCCCCTTTTGTGAGTTGTATAATTCTTGTAGATCGAAGGAAAAAGGAGAGATCTTTTTTTGAGGGGAAAAAAAAGGAGAGATCTTTGGTCCTGTGGTGATCAATCTCCTTGATCTTGTGCCTTTCTTTCACCTTTTTTTCTTCTTTTTCTTGTTTTGCTTAAAGACTAAAGATCTCTAGCTATATCTCTCCCTCTTCATGGCCATCTAGCTATTCTCACACATCAGCTAGCAGCCATGATTCTACTTTTCTACTTTCCCAAAGCTCCCATATGCATACAATTAAAAAAGAAATCCAAACCCTCTTGCAAAATGACACTGAAAGAGAAGAGGAAATTTAGGAGTTTCCAAGCCAAGAAAAACAATTACCATCAGGCCAGTGGATGGTTCAGCCTCCTGCTCTTTGTATATGTGCATGTTTGCTAATTCCTCTCTAATCAAAGAAGAGATTATAATGAGGAAGAGAGGGGTGTGTTCAAGGAGAAGAGAATGGTTGGGGAAGGATGAGATGAGATGGAGTGGTGGTAGCTGTGGAGAGAGTCCATCTATATATTGCCCCTGGTGTTTTTCTTCCTCCTGAACTTTCCTCCTTTCCCCTCTTGGCTGGCCTACCTGCACATTGTAACCATTAATTGCATGGGGTTTAATCAATTCTTTTGCCTTATTTTACCTACCTTTGTGTGACATCACTGCACAGGTTAATTTACCTCATGGCATTGCACCATTAGCTTGTAATTTGGGGCAAGTTTTCACAAAAGCTTGTGGGCTTCGACCTGCAAACTGCTAGGGAAATTATTTCAGGCCTATTTCTTGGTCTCTGTTCTCTGCAGTTCTTGCTTTGGGAAAGTAGGTAGAAACTGGAAAGATACTTGATTGCTGAACTTAGCTTGTAACATTGAAATACTAGCTAATTGAACTTGTGGGTATATATTTTCTGTTAATCCTCACAAAAAATATATATTTAAATTCTGCCTAGGATCATGAGTGTGCTCCTTTAATATATAATACTAATGTCCTTCAACTATCTTGTGCTGTACTCCCTCCGTCCCATAAAAAACGAATCTAGGACCGGATGTGACATATTCTAGTACTATGAATCTGGACATACATATTATAGTACTATGAATCTGGACGTATGTATGTCTAGATTCATAGTACTAGAATATGTCACATCCGGTTCTAGGTTGGTTTTTATGGGACGGGGGGAGTAATTTGTAGTTTATAAATATCAGTCAAAGATTTTTTTTTCTCGAACACGCAGATGTTAGTTAAAGATCTTGTGAGCAAAAACAATATACTCCATAACATGCATCCTCCAAAAGGATAAATGGAAGCACCATAGGAAACTTACATTGATAGCCACAATTCCAGTCCACCTTCAAGGAGGTTTTCCGCACGTAGATATCCTTTACGTTTTTTAGAGTATTAAATGATAATATCGGTTTACACAATTTTGGTTACGATGTCAACCGACATTATTATTATTTAATACTCTAAAAAGAAGAAGGCACGATATGAGTCTATGTCTGAATTTTGGCCCGAGAACAGTTGTAATTTCATCTCACATATAGTTTGTGAGGAGTAATATATTCTCTTTTCCCCAAAAAAAATGATAATTTCGGTTTACGTACTGTGCATCGGCACTTAATGCATAGGTCCCTTGATTAATCTTATACTAGTATGGTCAATCGGAAAATCTAGAAAAGCACAAACGGTAGTAATTAAATGTGATTCAGTTGAGTAGACTTAGTGCATGCTTACAAATATGAAAAAGTCCCATTGCAAAAATATAGAATAATAAAATAAAATTGGGTATGCACCAATGCACCATTATGGCATACTATATATTATTGTCCTTCATTAAACAGTACATTATCAAGAAACAAGAATGTAAATTAAAAATACATTAGAAATAAATTGCCAAACATGTTAAAACACATACTCCCTCCGTTCCAAAATATAATTAGGCACAACCACCCTTACTCCAAAGACGAAGAAACAATTATTATCACCTTCTAATTTGTATCACTCTAATAAATAAAATGCATGCACCCAATAGAATTAGAGATCTTGAGGGTGGAGGATTTAAAAAAAATCATATTTTAATAGAGAAGATGTACTAATTAATTGCATGTATGCATGCACGCCTTATATTATGGAACATTTGAAAAAAGTAGTTGTGCCTTATATTATGAAACGGATGGAGTAATAAATTTCTTGTGTGCAATAATACTCAGGACTGTACGTAATCCTAATAGGAATTACATTTAGACACATCCAACCATGCTGTTAGTCTGAAGATGCTCTTGTCATCAGTCACAACTCTACATATACACATCACTCCAAATCACCAGAATTAAAGTGAAAGTATGGAAGCTGCAAGCTAACTAGCCAATTCTATTTTCAGAACGAATCTAGCCAAGTACAACTTGGAGCACATTGTTGAAATTTACATTTTACATTACTGTGTTTTAGTTTCATCTCCCAGCAAAATACAAGTGCTGAAAGGCTCACACATCTCTGTATGACTGTATGGCCTGCCCATGTGAGGCCTGCACAAACCCTTTCCCATTTTTGCTGGACACACACCCACACATGCATGCCAATGGATGCTAAGGATAAGGAGTAGTACAACTCTTCACAATTCTGAACTCTGAACTCTCCCCTTCGTTAGTCCCTTCTCCTCCCGGCATATTGGGCCCAACCAGCCAATCAGCAATTCATGCCAGTCATCACCGATGACCGATTATCGACAATATATATACACATGCATTTACACATAGATAGGGAAATTACATATACATACACATAAATAGATGTATATATATGCACCCTTTTACACTGATCAACAACCGGTCGTGACATGTCGAAAAATCGGTCTTGGCGTGCGTGCTAGCTGGCTATATACCTTGATGAGTAGCATCAATGGCCAGCTAACTGTGCATTGATGAAATTTCAGTGTAGCTGGCCGGATTGTTGGAGGCTATGAAGCTTTGGCATCAGGTGATAGCTCCTGATCAAGATTGGTTGGTACAAGGAAGCCATCAAGGCTTGAATATGTGTATATGTTACAACTAACTAGCAATGCAAGCTCTCCTCCAGTTACTGCATCTGTGAGTACTTCTGTTTTTCACATGTGGAAGTATAGATCAAGAATGAATATAATGCGGATTTCTTGGTGCAAATTAACTTTTACTTGCATGGTATATGCATGCGGAGGTTGGATATCACATTCTGGTAAGAAAAATCATCTCCTTTTTGCAGCAGATGCAGGAGAGTTGAAATGGGTATGGTAGGAGTACATTTTCATGTCTATATGGGAATAACTCAGGTAGAAAGATCAAATTGGCAAAGAAAGCACACGATTGTGTTCAAATTTGAATTTTGTGCGCGTAACAACTTTTTTTTTGTGCATGTCTGCGACTGCTTTGTATATCTATGTTTAGCAGTACATTTAATTAATTCATCTCTACCACTTTCATATCTTTCTTAAAACCTACTAATAGCTTAAGCTAAATTAATAGTCTCGGTCTCCCAGCAATTTTCTGACTATAGCAAATGGAATGTCTGAACACATTCAGCACAAGTGCCATTCCTACTGGCACATACTGCCACCCCTAGATGGCCATGTGAGCATGGCAGGTGGGCCTGCCTTGTCAGATGGCCCTATTCAAGATAAAATTTACTCTGAAATTAAATGGATGTAACCAGGCCAGTGGAGTAGTACTTATACAAGTCATGAACCCAATGAATTATAGAAATATAAAAGAATACTACCTTCGTCCAAAAAAAAGTCTATCCAAACTCCTAGAAAAAACAAAGTCTTCTGGGACGATAATCATAGCATTTTATGTGGCGACGGTTCATTGTGCTACCTTCGTTTTTTAATACATGACACTATTAACTTGTTAATCAACGTTTAACGACCATTCGTCTTATTGATTTTTTTCTACAAACATAAAAAATTAAGAAATACCATTTAATGATAAATTAATTAAGTCCCAACAAAACAAATTATAATAATATTTTTTTGAAAATAAAATAAATGTTCAGACATATTTCAAAAAATTAATGCCTTCATGTATTAAAAAGAGAGAGCAGTACTAGTACTAATTATCAGCATGAATGGATCATGATGCATGAGTGAAGTCATAAAATGCAATCTTTTTATGCAGAGCAGTGTTATCCACATTGGACAGTAGGTAAGGTATACTACATCCATGATCCGATCGATGCACACCAAACGCCCAGAGATTTATAACCGGTTGATTGTTCCTTGTCCATGTTGTGACAACTGGCAAGATCGAAGCCTATCTTGGTACGTGTCCTGTCGAATTAATACCGTCAAGTATGAGGTGATGAGATATGGTATACTCTTTCCGTTAAAAAAAAAACTCCATCCGTTCTAAAATGTAAGCATTTTTAACATAGTGACAAGTGAAAATATTTTAACTTTGACTATTAATAATAAAAAAATCAATCATGTAAAATTGATGTTACTACATTCATCATTAGACAAACTATCATCATTATATGTAACTCCTTTTATTTAAAACATCTTACTTTTATAGATATTATTGGTCAAAATAGCATCTCAAAGACCATGTTAGACTCCAAAAATACTTATATTTTAGGGCAGAGGGAGTAAAAATTAAGTACTTCTAGATATAAAGAATATGGATACAGTGTATGTCTACATTCATATTCAGAAATGGGTTTATTTTTGAACAGAGGGTGTACGCGCGCGACTACACGTTTGTGCTTATATTGTTGACCTAATCTTCAGAAACCGTCTCTTTTCATTTTCTCTTTCTTTGGGATTATTTGGCTAGCTACAAATTCTATCCAACCCAAACATATGTCCCAAATCGATGTTTTCTTTTCATGAAAAATTTACCAGTGCTTATTTCCAGTCCTTATGAAGATATATAAAACGTAGGATGTCTGGATATTCAGTTACGGCCACCTCTATCAGCAGAACATTTGCTCGTCTTTTCAATCAAGATGATATTGCCATGGTGCTGTCCGTTGTCATGCTGCTTCAGAAAGTTCATAGGTCAATAATTTATAAACCAGACAATACAAAGAGATTAAGGAATAGAGAAAAGAAAATTAATGATGAGTGCGGTTGCATGGGACAAGTAATACTCTAAAATTCTTAATATTTATAAATAAATTTATACCTAAAATACCTTATATTTTTGCCCTGAGTAGTACGAATCTTGTGTACTGAAATATATAAGCTCAAGTGCGATGGTCAGCTGATGTTGCGACCGACGCGTGTCACACCACTCTCGATTATAGTACTCCGGTACGTACTTGGGACTGGGCTGGAGTGTGATTGACACGACGATGGATGGACGGTAGATTGATGGTCGATGACATGGTGTAGGGCAATAATGGCTACCAAATCAAACTGCTCTTCTTTCTATCACATGAACTTCTTGTGTGATCCACGTTTATGCTTCGCAAGTTTGCAAACTAGACTTGTTCATTCATGTGGAGAATAATATCTCTCATCTTAAAATCTTAATCCATTCGTTTTGTAAAACAAGTTTAAATTAGGTCCTCTCATAGTATAGATGGCTAGTTTCACTAACATGGTAAGTTAATCCAATCCATTCATGCTGACTAGGCGTTTATGTGAAATGTACCCTATATATCATCCTCACTCTCCTTCTCTCTTCTCTCTCTTTTCTCTCTCCATCTCTTCCCCTTATTCCTCTGGAGCTCGATGCATCGAGCACGCCGGCAAGGAGTGGAGCTCGGAAGGTGGGGGCGGTTCAGGGCTCCCCAGCACGACTTTGGACAGAGCAACGAGCACTGGTGGAGAAACCCTTTTTACTCCCGATTGGTAACCCCCTATAGTCGTCTCGGTTTTCCAACTAGGAGTAAGAATCCGGGATTAGAGATCGCTATCTTTAGTCTCGGTTCAAATACCCGATCTTTAGTCCTGGTTGGAGGGTTTTTCTTTTTTTTTTCATTTTCTCTTTATTTTTCAATGTTATTTTGCTATTTCCCTAAATCATCTCAGATCAAATCATTCACAGCAATGTAGTTTATCCCAAATCATTCACAGCAATAGTTCATCCCCAAATCATTCACAACAATATAGTTCATTCTCAAAATCATTTACAACAACAACACAGATCGAATCACACATTCAACACAGATCGAATCACACATTCAACACAAATCGAATCACACATTAAGGAAAAAAGAAAAACAAAGAAAAAAAATCCACGCAGCCGCCGGGCGCAGCCCTCCGCGCGAGGCCGCCGCCGCGGCACGAGGCCACCTCCGCCGCGGCCCGGCCGCCGCCGCCGCCGCCCGGCCGCGCCTGAGAATAGGGAGGAGAGGGGAGGAAGAGTGAGGAGAGGAGGAGGAAGAGGAAGAAATGGGGGTGAAGAGGAGGAAGAGATAAAGGTGAGGGAGGAGGAGATAGAACTTATTAACTGATCCCACCTCTTCCTCGATCTCGCGCACGCCTCGGCCTCTCCGCCGCGCATACTGATCTTTTTTTCCCGGTTGGTAACACCAATCGGGACTAAAGATAATAGAGGGGTCTGACACCGCCTGCTGTTCTTTGAATAGGGACTAAAAATGATCTTTACTCCCGGTTAGTGTTCCCAATCGGAACTAAAGATAAAAAATAGTTCTAACCTTTTGAACGGTTTTTATTGCAACCGAGACTATTGTGGAATTTGGTCGACCAACCAAAGATGGTTTCTCTAGTAGTGGTGGTGTCAGGAGAAGGGAATGAGGTTGGGTGGAGGAGGAGCAGCAGGAGCGGAAGAGGCTAGGTGGAGCGAGGAGAGAGCGGAGGAGGCCGAGAGAGCTCACACAAATAGGACTGGAGCATCGCTGCCGACCCATGCCTGCAGAAGAGATGGAAGAAAGAGAGGCACCGCCCGTAGCCATCTCCTGCGCGGTCACCGCCCAGCTCCTCTCCCACCACCCATTGCCGGCATCTAGGTAGGGAGACAGAAGAAGGGAATGGTGGCACGCCAACAGGAGATAGAGAGGAGACATGGTTAGTTGGAGGAAGTGGGACCGATTCACATGCAGTTTCCATTATTTTTTATCTTTTTATTTGATCGATATATGGGCACCATATATTTTGTTTAATTCTGTAATATTGTTTCTAGTGCCATATAGAATAAGGATCAAGTCAAACAAACCACGTAGACATCACATCAGTCAAAACTATCATTCAAACTATGACCTCATTTACACTAGTTTTAGAAGTTGAGAAACAAATTATATCATGTATTGCGGTTTTAAGAATGCAATTCAAAATCAAGTCAAGATAAGGGACTTAAAGTGAACTTATTCTTCATGTGGCAATCTGGTTATGTGTAAAAGGACCTAAGTTTCTAGGCCCAATCCCAAGTTTTTGTTCCGTATGTGGCCCTGGGAAGATGGGAAAAAAAAAGGCAAAATATGTGGCAACTATTACAGAACTAGTAGTACCGGACACTACCTAAAAATTGAATAGTCAAAATATTTTAGTTAAGAGAAAATTTCATCAAATTACAAGTGCTTTAGCTAAATTATCACCAAATTATATATTTAATATGATGTATCATAAAACTACGGCCCCGTTTAGCACAGGTCTAGCTCCTAAGTTCAACTTACATAGAGCTGGAGCTGTGCCAAACAATACAGATTCTCCATTTTTTTAGAGCAGAGCTAGTAGAGCTGCTCCACAAATTTGTACTACGGAGGTGGAGCTAGATTGTTGCTGCTTCACAGCTGCACTCTATCCCAAAATACCCACTACCCTTTAAATTTTTCATGTAATTACGTGATATGCCATTGAACTACACCTTCCTATCCCCTCTCCTCGTGTTCTCTCTCCTCCTCATCTTCCTCCCCATCCTCCTCCCGACGACAGCGGGCGGCGGTCTCGACAGGTGGCGGCCCGGGAGGCGGCGGCAGCAGCGGCGGTGGGCGGTGGGCGGTGGCTAGGGCAGTAGGACGATGGCGTCGATAGGCGGCGCACGGCGTCGGCAGGCGATGCGCGGGCAGCTATGTCGATAGGCATGACCCGGGCGGTGGCGTTAACGGCAGGGAAACACACATGTTGTGGCAGCTCGCAGGCTGACCGGCAACGGCGGTGGTTGCTACGGTGGCGGCAAGGTGACGCTCTCCAGGTGTTCAACGAAATGGCTACAAGGCACGTGGTGGCATGGAGCTGATAAATCTAGCCAAACACTTTTTGTACCCACCTTAGCTACTATAGAAGCCAGCTCCCATTGAAGTTGGAGTTTAGAGTTAGGAGTTGAAGTTTGGAGCTCTACCAAACAAGGCCGTAATCTTTAGCATTAAATTTATCATAAAACTATAGATTTAATGTGGAATATCATAAAACTACAGATTTAGTAACAAAGTTACCACAAAACAACATATTCATTAATGCTGAGGATTTAGACCCCAGAATATGTAGTTTTGTGATAATTTTATTATACTAATGTTCTTTTCTCTTGAAGATGAAGATGAAGATTAAGTTTTTTACGTAAAACGATGTTGTATTAACGTATGATTGATTGAGTTTTAATTATTACAAACTTCAAAAATAGATCAATATGATATTTTAGAGCAACTTTCATATAGAAAGTTTTCACACGAAACATACCGTTTAACAGTTTGAAAAGCGTACTACAAAAATCTTAATCTTCATCCAACTCTTGTTGGAGAAAAGAACCGGACCAAATCTTAATCTACATAATCTGTAAGTTTGTGATACTTAGTCTTAAACATATAGTTTTATGATAAATTTATTGATAAATCTATAGTTTGATACATCATTTTAAATCTATAGATTTACGATAATTTAAAGGTTAATAGTGAATCATTAGTTAAGTTATGGAGAATGTCGCGCATTGACGAGAATAATCAGATACCCCACACATTGACTACCATTCTCTTGCGTATACCAGCAACATGTGGAACACGCATTCGCTCCGCAGGTCTGGCTCCGTATACTGTCGCCTTCTGATTGGGCTGCCCTCTCTCCTCCTCGTGGCAACTGGCTCCAGGACTGGTGGGTTTCTTCTAGGGCTTGCTTATCTGAGCATCTCCGTGCCGGCTTCGACTCTATTGTACTCCTGGTAAGGATCAACTGCGCATAGTCTGAAATCAGAAATTCGTGACTTCAACTCAAAGTCACCGTTCAAAGATCTATTCTGCCACGGCCACCCCGCCCGTCTTCCCGGCCGTCCACCGCCAATCAACGGTGGTGGCACGGAAGTCGATGACAGCCGGGTCGACGGCGAAAGGACATGGATTTGGTCAGTGCTGTTCTTGATAAAATCCGGTGAAATATGCCACTGATGTAGCACATACACATCAATGGCAGCAGTGGACCTGCTGGTCCCTGCCAATTCACAAATACAAATTTGTTTCCTCTTCCTTTCAGCTTTCACACCCCAAGGGAGCTCCATTGGCTCAATGCACCTTAACTTGATTTCTTTGCAGCGTTCATGCAGGAAAGAAGGCAGAAACCAAACCATGTGATGTACTATTGCTTACGCAAGCTGTGATGTAGTCCGTCTCATCATAAATATTTCAAGAAATTTGATGATCCTAGAGAGAGAATCTCGAGTATCTAAATTTTTACATTAAAATTGTTTATACCTCAAGATACTTATTATTTGGATGTACCAAATTTTGCACTAGAAAATATGGTACTCCCTGATACTTGAGACTCCAGGATGGAAAAATTACCTAAATATCGAACGTATAGGACAAGATTTAGGTACAGTTTGAAACTTTCATCACTTGTTCTATATTAGAATAAGTTTATAAAATTTAACAAGTTTATGACATTATTCATTCTATCATTTTCCACATTCATATTGATACTAATGAATCTAGACAATGTGGAAAATACTAGAATGACTTACATTGTAAAACGGAGGGAGTACTTTTTAACGCAAATCTACATATACCATTTTCTTTTAAAAAAACTAAATATTTGACAAATTATTGATAGTTAAAGTTTCAAATATTGTCCCAAACATCTAATATTTATAATCGGAGAGAGTTCTTGTATAACAAGCTGTTTGATCTCAAAGAGCATTGGAGCGAGCTCAAATAGCTTTTCGAATCTGATCTTTTCCGACCAGCTTACCACTATTTCAGACATGATCAACCACAAATTTACCTGTACAAAACTATTCCAGGGAAAATAAGTTGGAAGTGATGCAGGTTAGCCAGGCATGTGGCTAGATCACACCTTGGCAAAGGAAAGGAGTATGCAATGGAGTCATAGCTATGGGTAGAGAATGACAGAAATAGGCCGACAGATAGTGAACTACCACCACAGTATATTTTCTCAACTTTTGGAAAATGGTGAGAAGGAACATAGTACTTTCTCCGTTTCACAATATAAGTCATTCTAGTATTTCCCACATTCGTATTGATGTTAATGAATCTAGATAGATAGATATGTCTAGATTTATTAATATCAATATGAATGTGAAAAATATTAGAATGACTTATATTGTGAAACGGAGAGAGTAGATGACAATGCACTCATCAATCAGTCCATGAAATGACTACACAAAAATTGTATTATGCCAAAGCTATCCCAATCCATAAATGTTTCTAAATCTCTGAACCTAAATAATTCAACACAAAAACCTCCAGTTCAGAGGAGGATATAGCCAGAGAGGCACAGAGGATAGCAGGTGCAGGGTCATCAGGGCATCAGGCAAGCTGCAAAATTCTGTAACCAAGTTAGTACCAGCAGAGCAAGAAAAAGTTTGCAATCTCATTAGTAATTACTTACATGGAAATGGTAACTTGCCACCAGGATTCTGTTGAAGTAAACTTGATGGATGTAATGCTTGATGCGTCGACGCAAAAGTAAGAACCTCCCAAATCAATTGAGTCCTCTTTTCACAGGGCTCTAGTACAGCAAACTATGGGTCAAAGAAGACCAGAACTAGCTGCACACTGTTCATCAACTTGAGAAAAGTTTGAGCCATAACCATTGATTGGGACAAAATATAATCCGAATGATTCATCTGATGGGCTACAAATTAGACCTTTCTATGACTTTTAGTCTGACCAGACAAAATATTTCCACCCCTTCTTATAACGAAAAACGGTACACATGAATACATAGGTGGATAATTGCCATCATCTGTGTCTTGTCTCGGCTCCAAAACATGCTTCGCCCCGGGGCGGAGCTTCACCGGACCAGACCTTGAAATATACCTGACACCAGAAGAAATGTTAGAATTGTCGACGTCTATTTTTCTCGTCTTCCAAACAGTATCTCTTGACATGGTGTTTACAGAACTTGGGATCTCTGCAACTCCTCTGATTATCTGGTTTTGATCCTTTCTAAAATTTGTACCATCAGGAGGATGAACTAGTAAGTTTGCAGGATAGGGATTATGTTTCCAAGTTGAATTGGCACGGTAAACTGCTGACTGCTTGGCATGTGGTATGAAGGTAGGCAAGAATGTTGTAGCAGACAGTGAGTTTTGATCAGATCTTGTGTTGTATTTTCCTCCTTGAGGTGAAAATCCAGCAAGCGCATTTTGGCCACAGTGCAAATATGAAAAGTCCCTCAACCTATCTTCGCATTCGATTCCATTCCCAGAGAAAACATCAGCTTCCGGAAAACGACGCTTTAAATTATGCATTTTGTATCCAACATAATCATGGCTTGTGCTTGGGGCATCTACCTGTATATTGGAAAAACTTCGGGATTGCAGTGACAGAAACGGGTGACCTTGTCGTGGCAACTCTAAGAAAATATTAGTAGTATGATGGCAGCTGACAGAGGAGTTCACATGCACCTTTGCTGTCTCACCAATGCATTTGCCACCTGTTGTGGAAACTGTAAGATCTTTTCCCATCAGACGCATGGTACGTTGTGACATAACTGCATGCTCATGTTGCACATTGATTTCAGAATGTAACATGGGTTTCTCAGAATTCAGCTGGTTTTCACATGGACAAGAAGAAAATTCTCTTCCAGCATGATGAAAGTTGCCCAAATTCATATTGGTGTACCAATTCTCCGTAAACTGACTTGTGTACTGAACTGTATGCTGAGGCAATATGTAAGGAGCCTTTCCTTCCATAGTATCATCTCTTACTGAACTTCTCTCATAATCAGCATAAAACTTATTAACTTCTGTTGAGTTCAATGGATGACCAATCATTCCTCTGTCAGAAATGTTAATTGCTTCATCAGGCAACAGTGAGGCTATTGATCTTAAGTTAATGATTCTCCCAAGATCACAACTGTTAAGTTCACACTGCGATCGCGGTGATTTGGAATGGAGGTCTTGATTGTGCTTAAGAACAGCTTCTTCTCTTACATCACCAGGTATTTGGAGATCAGAAGTTGCATTCTCCGTATGCTCAAGATCAGGCACCTCTGAACCAGAAATGAATGCGCCATTAAAATCGGGAATACATGGGAGCGTGCGATTCAGATCAATCAAGTTAATTGGGTCCTTTGCACCACTTGATTCAGAAGTCCATCTGTCGTATATATCCCTACCTGAGGCTTCCTTGTTCTCATGAGAACTAATTTTTGCAGATACTAATCTGTCAGCTTCATTAGACTTGTCTGAGTACACATTGCAGTGGTTTTGCAGTTGGGGTAACGTGGAACTTAGCTTGTTTCTAATATGTATGTCATCCACCCCTGAGAATGTAACATGCTTCCCCAACTTGTGGCTTAGCTCTATGGCTTCTGACCCTTTCAGATTGCTGCATTTCTCCTTGTTGATGCTGACAGTGAAAGAGGAGCGCTTTGTATGCTTTCTCAGAATGCTGTTCTTCGGGACCTTAGCAGAGTTCTCTGGCTTCCATATTTCAAAATCATACATCTTCATATTCTCGATGTTGATGTGTTTTTGTCTTTCATGTACCTGAAATGTCTGGGGAGAAGGAGGATGTAACTTGTTTACTGAAACCTGGAAAGTTGCACGACCATGAGGGTTAAGTCATATATGCAGATTAAATAATTGCAACATAGTCACTATATCTTTATATATGGTATCTATCACTGCATCATTACACAGCATAAACTTAAAAACTGCATGGACGGACAGACTTGGTTGTTTTGGTCACTATAATTAGGTCAGGAAATATTACAATGATGCAATCACTTGGAAGTCCCTTTTCAATCTTGTCGGATTGTCAGAATTGCCTATTCACTTGAAACTTTAAAATGTAGCACTATATTTATAAGGCAAAATTTTCTACAGAACATCGAAAGATTGCGGTCTTTGCTGTAAGACACCCAAAGATCGTGTATTTACTCATGGACACCCTAAAAAAGTGGTAATTAGCTGGTGGACACCAGTCGCATTATTTTATTATTTTCGATGAAAACGGAGAGAGAAATTTTGGTTTAAGACAAGTTTACCCATGGACCCACTTGTCAATCTCTTTTTCTCCGTTCTTCTTCCTCTCTTTCTCTGTTCTTCTTCGACAGCAACGCGACGCTTTTGCCGAGCGGAACGCTGGAGTGCTGCGTCGACCACCAGCACGTTCTCAACCTCAACCCCCTGTGCAAGCCCAGCGAGGTCGCCTACACCCTCATCCCAACAGTGTTCTACTTCGAGTTCCTCCTCATCAACTCCGGCAACGACGTCGCCACCCCGGAGCCCGACCACTGTGACCTCGTCGACGTCAAGCTCGGACACGAGTACGAGCTCGTCGTCACCACCTACTCCGGCCTGTACCGCTACTGCGTGGGCGACGTGCTGTGTGTGGCCAGGTTCAAGAACGCGGCGCCGATGTTCACCTTCGACAGCCTCCTCGGTCTCGGTGGCACGCCGGAGTTGCTCGTGTCGGAGACAGGAGACGTCCTCCCAATTCGGCGGGCCCTTCTCGTACTGCCTCTCGCCGACGAGCGGCGGCACTGGGTTCCTCGCCCTCGGCGCGCCCAACGGTAGCAACACAGCAGCCGGCTTCTCGTTCACGCCGATGCGCTGCATCCCCTCGGTGCCGACGTTCTACGTCATGACGCTCACCGGCATCAGCGTCGGCGGGGCACCGCTCGCCATCCCGCCGTCGGCGTTCTCGAGCGGCATGGTCATCGACTCTGGCACGCTCATCACAGGGCTCCTGACGACGGCCTACGCGGCGGTCACGGCAGCGTCGGACGCGGCGGCGACATCGGACCTCCTCCACGACCTCACCCCGGAGAGCTACGTCAACGACACCGCGCTTCGGCAGAAGGCGGAGGATGACCACGGCATTGGTTTACTCGGCGGCGACGATGATTTGCCCACCTTCGACCGCCTCTGGAAGTATGGAAGTATTGTTGTGGCTACGCCGGCGTGTCGCTCGCCGCGGCGCGCGCGCTCGTCGACGGCGCCTTCGAAATCACCATCAACTGGTCCGGCGGCATGCACCACGCGTCCGCGTGCAAGGCCAGTGGCTTCTGCTACATCAACAACACCCTAATCGCTATCAATGAGCTCCTGCCGTATCCCTGCCGGCCCGGTCGCCATTGCGCCGCCGCCGAGCTCCCCGAGAGCTCGGTGCCACCGTGCATCGCCGCGCCATGCGCCGGGATGCCGCCGTGCATCCTCGTTGTCGGTGGTGAACCCCGGCGATGCGCCGCCGCCCCGCCGTGGCCGAGCTATCTCGGCTCAGGCCGGCCGCGCGTGTCGCGCCTCTGCTCGGCTCAGCGAGGAAGAAGAAGGGGAAAAGAAAGAAAAGAGAGCAGGGGTATTTTGGTACTTACACAACTCTTTCCCTCTCCATTTTGACCGGAAATAATAAAATAATGGGAGAAGTGTCCAGCAGCTAATTACCACTTTTTTACAGTGTCCACAAAAAGATTCACGATCTTTGGGTGTCTCACAGCAAAGACCGCAATCTTTCAGTGTCCTGTAGCAAATTTTGCCTATTTATAACCAGGTTTTTTTTATGCCATTTTCAGCAATAGAGTTAGAAGCTTAGTTCTGCTTGTCATGCAAACTAAGTGAGCTCAATTTGAGTCAATTTTCAGAATGGACTAGGAAGTGGATTCATACAAAGTTCCTCCTGTAAATTTTCTGCAACTTCTATTGTAATGTACCTAAGTAGTCAGATCAGCCGGTCCCATTGTTTCATTGAGAGAAAAAAACTGAAACTGATCAATATCTATTTCCTAGGACACTTACATTGCACAATTTATTAATAGAATCTTGTTTAATTGCTTCTTATACTTCCTTCACGTGGGATGGATGCATTCTAGGACTCCCAAAGAGAAACAATGAAGAATCAAGTTTGCATGAATCCAGAGAGCTCCAAAAATGAAGTCCAGTCCAATACATGTTTTTCCGGGTGCAGAAATGCTCTCAAATAAAAACAGTGACAACTACAAAGTTGTCAATCTTGTCAATAACATAAGTTATACTACTCATTTGCTAAATCTGGATTAATGATGCTATAACCGCTAGATAATACAGGGAGATGTATCATGTAGGCACTGTTCAATCTGAGATGTATGTATACCTGGATATCCACATACATCTCAGATCCAAAAGTCCAATGAATGAGAAAATCAAGAAATTTACCCACCGGGAAATACCCCCAATGGAGCTGTTCAGATAAAATGGGTGAAGACTCATGATGACCTCTTCGGTCTTTAGACTTCGCCCATTTACATGCGCTAGCCACTAGCATTTGGGCCTAAAGCACAGCTGCACCTATATATAAGCCACAACTGGCCCATCACCGCTCTAGAGCTCCTTCAGCCAGTACAACAAATGGCCCATCAACTCCATTACCTGCCACCGATTCCGAAGACCATTTCTATAGTAGTGACGTTGGCACAGTCTAATACACACCGTTGGCCACAAATGTTTTCTAGTTATATTATATGTTAAAAAAAGTTGTTGAACACACAATGACATGGGAACGCTTTTACAGATTATTATATATATGCTGTTCATCCACATGGATAAATTCAGGTATTTCTATAAATAAATATGAGTAATAAAAAATTTTGAAAGGTTGACTGCATGGAAGGACTAGTGCTTCACACACTAACCCACTTATTGGAATTGTTGCATATATTGTTTATAGATATGCCCAGCTCACTTTCCTCTAGACTCGCTTTTAGTATCTAAAAAGCGACAATACTGTTTTATTTAGCCAACTGCAAGAGATTTCTCATTTAAGCCAATAACTTGAAAATTTAATGCATGGAGTGTCCACATATCCCCTCCATTTTGTAGTTACTCATCGTTTATTACATTGACAATCTCTCCAATATAATACATATATGTACCATTACTTTTAATAATTATATTTTATAATATTATTAATTGCATGGAAGTTTTTTTTATGACAAATCTATTATGCCATTTTTACATATCAAATTTTAACAATTTAATATATTAGTGTGTTAAAGATTTCAAGTGTTACATTGCAACATTATAAAACAATACCAAAAAAAGAATGAATGGTGGGTACTTACCAACTCATTTGCTTATAAGACACCACCAAATTTGGAGTGAAGGTCTCACTGATATGCGGGTCCATAGATCCTCAGGCCCATATGTCACTGAGCAGTACTGTAGAGGATCTAAATTGCCAAATTTAGAATTCTTTTTCATCGCTTTCTATTTTTCAGCGTCGCCTTTAACTTAAATTGTTAAGAGTACCAAGTGTAAAAATCTGACCCCAAAATTATTATTTTCTACTTCAGTCATGTGTCTATATTTTGTACTCCATACCTCTCTATTTATATGCCTTCCTCTAATCCTCTGTATGTAAAAATAGGGAGAGAATCCCTATGGAAATGGCCAAATGGGTACTTAGCTAGAAGCATTCTATGATCAAGGGACTCTCCACTAAAAAGATTTAAAGATGAAATAAAACAAGAAAAATAAAACAATTAATGCTACTCACAAGTGTACTCCCTCCGTCCAAAAAAAAAAAAGACAAACTCTGAATTTCCGTATCCAACGTTTAACCGTCCGTATTATTTAAAAAAAATATGAAAAAAATTAAAAAGACAAGTTACACATAAAGTATTAATCATGTTTTATCATCTAACAACAATGAAAATACTAATTATAAAAAAAAATTCATATAAAACGGATAGTCAAACATTGGACACGGAAATTTAGGGAGCAGTAACTCTTCGATCAAGATGCATTACAGCAAAGGTACGCATGCACACTAGTACCAATGAAGACTAGGACTGCTACTTGTCATGTACAGCTACTGCCTTCTGTCCTATCATCCATCAGTATTACACGCAGCTAGCGCCACGTTAGTACGACTCTGCAGAGTGCCACTGTGAACTTAATTCGATCGATTCCTCTCCTCTACTGTGAACAAGGAGTAATTATAATTAATTCGAGGAGTACTATCTAGGAGTATCGATCTCCTGCAAACTAAATACAGGAGTACTACTATTAAGCATGGAATAATAATGGCAGCAATTAAGTATTTATGCTCCTGTACGATCCAAGAACTTAACACGTTATTCACTGCATAATCCGTACGTAGAGGTGCGTATTTAGCAGCTCCAAGTTAATTAGTCTGTTCCAACAAAAAAAAAACTAATTTTTGGGTAGAGGAGTTTTCTTGGCCGAGTCCAAGAAAAGATAATAACTTTTCATACTACATTTAACTTCAGTAACAAACTTGATGTATACATGCATCCATACTATTTTCTAGCAAACCACAAATCAAAACATTGTATTTTGGTTTATAAAGGGTTATGTGCATGGATATATCAATATCCTTTTACTCCTATGTACATATAATGAATAGACTTGGAAAATAATATTAATATGATGATTATTTGAGAATAACTAAAAAAACTATAGGGTGATTAAGTGGAATGGAGGGAGTAGCACGTGTTACATGAAATATAACGCTCTCCCTAAGATAAGATTACAGACAAAGTCATGTCTGCACCTACACATGTGTACTAATTAATCAAACCACGCAAACAATCAAGCCAATTAGCCTCAGATTGCACAAGTTTCAGGCCACTAGTGTGTTGGTGGAAGTGGAACACACTGCACCCCAGTAACCCAAACATGAAAACAGCAGCAATCAATCACTAGTTCACTACTACTACTGCTAGCTAGCTTCACGCCCATCACTAATCCAAGCTATATCTATACTAAAATTAACTTTATCTTGCTTAGGAGTCTAACAAGAGCAGAAAGCTAATCTAGATATATTCTACTACTAGGATCAGAAATGAAATTTTCCATGAAAAGAAAAGTCTAGGAGCTTTAAATGCACTGTTTCATAAAGCTAGGCCGAGCTACAGGACGATGACATCATGGACCCCACGCACACCGTGCTAGTAGTTACCTTTGGAGCATTTGGTGTGGAGGAGATGAAGATCCCCTTCTTCTTCATCTTCTCGACACCATCGTCGTCTTCTTGGGACCTCGGCTTCTTCCGCCGCCGGCTATCCATGGCCGGCGCTTCACCGGTGGCGGCGAAGAGGTCGGAGACGGACCGCTTGCTGTTCTTCCTGGCCACCGCCGCCGCCGCCGCCGGCGAGCTACGACGACGACGACGACGACTCACCGCGGCGTGTAGCTCGTCGACCCACCACCGGAACCTCCGGATTGGCATCGGCGGGAAGTCGCCGGCGGCGGAGAGGGCCGGGTGCCGGGACGCCGCCGTGCCCCTCATGCTCGCCGCGTACTCCCTTTTTCGTGTCAGTCAACACCAAACCAAGAAACAAGAATATCAAGAAACCAAAAATTAAAAAAACAAAACAAGAAAACACAAAGCATCAAACTACATACCGGATGGAGAAGGAGGGCGCCATGGATGGATGAGCTCAAGAATCCCAAAGAAATCGATCGATCGATCTCTACATGGAAACGTGTGTAGAGAGTTTGAGATGTGGTGTGGTTGGCGAGGAGGAGGGGAGGAGACAGGAAGTATATAAGGTACAACAAATTTCTTAAAGGATAAGAAATTTAGGCTCGCTTTTTTAATGTTTTCCCGCTCTTTGTTTAACTTTTCTTTTCAGCTGTTGGTCGGCCGTGGACCCGCGTCGTCGTCGTCTTCACTGGGCGTGCAGCGTGCATTGCTACCCGTCGATTTCAGACAAAGAGGACCAGTAGTACCCCCTCCATCAAATAAGATAATTATATTTGCAGTCTGCATATATTCAAAATGTAATGAGAGATAAATTAAATAGTTGACCAAAATACGAGTACTCATTTTAATACTCATTGATTATATGTATGTATACACTATTTACTATTTATTTTATACTGGATGAGTTAATTTTTTCTTGATCTTAATGATAAAAATATTAATACTCCTATGTTGGGAATTACTCCTTACTTTTCTGTCACATCGTACCAATTTCAACTAAACTTCCAAACTTCAGTGTGAACTAAACACAAACACAGCCGTAGCTTTGTTTAGTCGGTGGACACGAACAGAACAGCTGAACAAATCACACATGCTTTTGGTTGATATGGCCACACAACAACCCTCATCATTTTCTCATTATATAGATTCATACGAGCAAGGCCGAGTTTAGTTGCAAACTTTTTTTTCAAACTTTCAATTTTTCCATCACATCAAAACTTTCCTACACATATGCCGTGTTTAGTTCTAAAGTTTTTTTTTCAAACTTTCAACTTTTCCATCACATCAAAATTTTCCTACACATACAAACTTCTAACTTTCCCATCACATCGTTCCAATTTCAACCAAACTTCCAATTTTGGTGTGAAGTAAACACAGCCATATAAACTTCTAACTTTTCCGTCACATCGTTCCAATTTCAACTAAACTTCTAATTTTGGCGTAAACTAAACACACCCCAAAGCAATAACAAACCAGCCAATCAACTTCGGCGAGACTGACGCAACACAGCCACGATCCAGGACCTATTCTCTAGCCACGAACTAAATCACGTAGATACATACTCCCTCCGTCATATAAAAAATCAACATAGTACTGAACATGACATATCCTAGCATAACAAATCTAGACATACATCTGCCCAGATTCATTGTACTAGATTATGTCACATCCAGTTCTAGATTCATTTTTTTTGGACGAAAGGAGTACAAGTATAAGCCTTGCCACCCCGCAGATATTTGACACCTCTTGTGCAGCCGCATCCACACAGCTCTCAACACGCACATATCACACGTACAACCATGCACTTTCTCAGATGCCACGATGCAAGACCTATACAAGTATATGCTGCATGCATATGACCAAACTAAAAATGCTTCTGCACTAGAGATAGCAATAGGCTCCGTTCACCGTTTCTCCACGGTGAATTCACCTGTTAGGTGACGGGGATGGTTAATATGTATTCACCATGGGGAATAAAATGGTTAAAAACCTTTCACCATCAGGGATGACGGGGGCGGGGACCCCGCGGTGACTCGATTTTACTGTACAGAGGACTAAATTTAGACTTTTTAGACGTTTTGGCCCATAATATTGAAGCCCATTTACTAGGCATATATAAAAGCTAACCCTAAATCAACATGTCAAACTCCAAATCCTCCATCCAAAATCCCCAATCCTCCCTCTAGATCCACACGGCAGCACGCCCGTCAGCCCGTGCTAGCCACCACCGCCATCCGCCAGTCCGTCAGGAGCCAGGCACGCCGCCATGCACCTCCAATCCGCCAGCCACCAGGCGCACCGCCGCTCGCTGCCTTCTCTCGCACGGCACGGGCGTCCGTCGGGAGCCGCCGGGAGACGCATGGACTGAATCCGCCGTCGCTGGCAGACGCCATCGCCAGGACCTGCCAGCAGCCTCCGTTGAAACGCCGCCGGGCGCTGCGCCTACAGCCGTCTTCACTGGGAGCCACCGACAGCCTCCGTCGACACGGCGCCGGGCGCGGCGCTTGCAGCCGTCTTCACCGGGAGCCGGCGGGAGCTGACGTCGCCGCGCCACCGGGAGCCACCATCGACTTCCGCCAGCGCCCTCCGTCTTCACTCGCCCATAGCCCCGCACGTCGTCCACCGTCAGCACGCCATCCGCCGACCATGGCTTCGGCCTCCCCCCCCCTAAGCTACGAGCCTACGACAGCGACGATGCAAGGTGAGCATGCTACAATCCCTAATCCCTTCTCTGTACTCGATAGACGTCTACCTCTAGTTCTTCTCCATCGAGTTATTCGTCTTCATGTGATTGTGATCTATAATTTGTTGATTTGTTGAGTGGAGTATTTTGGATATATATTGATATAATGTGACTGTCAATATGTTGTTTAACCGGGGACGGGTTCACCACGGGAAAAATTCACTACGTGGTGATCGGGGCCAGAGAAATTGTAGCCCCGTCGTGGTTGATGGGGACAGGGACGATGAAATTTTTTCACCGCGGTGACGGGGACGCGGGTGTAACCCCCGATGGTGAATTCACCATTGCCATATCTATTCTACACTAATGAAAAGATTAATTGTGAGTAACATCCTACGTCTAACACTTTTAGATGGAGGGAGGGAGTACTACCAAGTTAGTGTCCCCTCACTCGCCACTGCTTGATCGAATGTCCGAAAAGCTCCTCATGGCCGCACCGATGAACGTCATCCCCTTACCTATCATCATTGGAGCTAGTCTTCCTTGCCTGCTGCCACTAGATCCGGTCATCTCCTTTAGGATTCGGTGGAGCTAGTGGTCGCCGTTGTTGCCACCATCCCTCTACAGTAGCCAGTGTTGGTATTTCTTAACGATATTACTAGAAATATTCATTCCTAGCAATTGCGCCAGAAATAGTCCTGGTATATTTATGGTTATCCGCAAGCGCACGGATATATCATTATAGCATTTCACCCGGAAGTACTTCAAGGTATCGTATTTTTAATGTCAAGGGAAGATAATAAGAGTGAGCATTGCTAATGCACTTTATACGTATATTACTTATAATTGTCAAAGCCTAAATAGGGGTTAAATGTAATATAAGGGTAGAGTGACATGAAGCAAAGCTATTCAATCCTCGTAATGAA